AAAATAAATGTGGGAACATGTGTTTTCACAGTGTTGCTCATATTACTGCAATTTCAAGTTTCTATGAAGTACCAGGTGAACTTTTTTAAATTAAAAAAAAATACACGCACACACACAGACATCATCGAAATTGGAGCAAATCTCAGCCATTCAATCCCTCTTTTTCATGCTGAAAACGAAGAACAGATGGTACTTTCCATGTTATTTGAATCTGGTTATTGAACACCTCTGTGGTTAGGGAGATTTCTGCTTAGCACTTTCGGCATACATTTCATTTACTAACTATAAAATGCTGCTTAGGAAAAATAAGTCTTTATAACAGTCTAATTAAAACCATCTTGCAGCCAAGCAATTTCACTTGAAGAGCATTCTTAACCTCTTGACATTTGGACTATCAATCCCTCCCCCGACCTTTTTTTTTTTTTGAGATGGAGTCTCACTCTGTCACCCACGAGTAGAGTGCGGTGGCCTGTGTTCTTGGCTCACTGCAACCTCCACATCCCTGGTTGCAAGCAATTCCCCTGCCTCAGCCTCCCAAGTAGCTGGGATTACAGGTGCACACCACCATGCCTGGCTAATTTTCTTGTATTTTTAGTAGAGACAGGGTTTCACATGCTGGCCAGACTGGTCTCAAACTCCTTACCTTAGGCAATCCACCCGCCTCAGCCTCCCAAAGTGCTGAGATTACAGGCAGGAGCCACCGCACCTGCTCCCCTGCCCCCACTGTTTTTAACAGACTATTTACAAAGTTATTAAAAGTTGCAAAACACTATTTATCTCCTACAGAACAATCTTGATGAGTTATGTGTATTCCTTCTCTCTCCAGCAAAGTTAATAGGTTTCACATACTAAAGTCAGAATTTAGTGATAGGTCTATCATACAAATACCTAAATTCCATGGGTTCTTAGGGAAAGGGCAGCCCCCTCCCTACCTCAGAAAACCCTGTCAATCTACAGAAAAGTAAGGAGCTGGATCAACGCTGATTGGAAGCCACCCTTAGTTACCAAAGTTTTTAACAGCTAAATCCCTTATATAGCTTTCAGAACAGTTTGCTGTCTGACAATGGACTTTGTTCTTTAATTATAGCAAGTGACCTTTCTGCCCTTTTATTTCACAGTAGATACACTATACTCTCTAAGTAGAATTCATATAGGACACTATATTTGAAAAAAAAAGATATCATCCACCAAACTCATTAATCAAAATATGTTCTTGAATTGCTCACACTCACTTAGAAAACGTGCCAGAATTCCCTGGTGAAGTATAAAAAGGCCTCTACAAAAGAATAAAATAAAATGAATGATATCCTTTATGAACAGGTCCGTTTGTAGACACCACCTTTATGACCAGGGCCATCTTAATGAAAGCAATATGATATTACAGAAATAATTTTCTTCTCTGAATAGGTATTGAGACACAACTATATGACCTCCTGTGCCTTTCACTTCTGTTTAAGTATCAGTTGCTTTCAAGATTTTTGAGTTTTTGTATATATTTTTGAATTTTCCAGAAATCAAATAAACCCATCAACTCTGTATAAACTATTTAGTTAGCCCAGCTGAATGCCTCCCTATCTAATAAGTCAAAACTGTAAGATGGCTAAGGAGGATACATAAAGAAGAGTTTCAATACAATGCCATTATACGTCACAAGAAAGGAGGGGAGGGTAGAGAGGCAGGTTTTAACAACCAAAAGCCAGCCCGTCAAATCTACTTATTCAGACATGTCACCGGTGGCTTAACCACAAAATGGGCTATAGAAATAGAGCTCAAACGTCTTAGAATTATGGCATGTTTTGATTTTGTTCACGTATTAAGGGAGTGGCGACTTTTACAACATACTTGTGGTTTCCACATAAAGGAGTAGAACAGTCATTGATTTAATTAGGTTTCATAAGGTCCAATTTATCATGTTTTACATGACTTTGTGTAGTGAAGAAACAGAATAAACAGACCAAAAATAGACATTTAAGCATGCTGTGAAAATTAACCGGTGACAGCAAGTCTTATGAATCTCCTGTGAACCTTCCAACCAGAAAAAAAAATGCACACACACATACACTCCCCTTTGGTTTTCACATGTGGCCCCTCATGAGCCACGTATGATTGCTGAAAATTAATAATCTTCATTCTCAAGGCACTTATTCTTCACAAACCCAGATAATCAAGCAAGGCTGAAGGAAATTAAAACATCGTATAAAATGTCAAAAAAACCTCAGGGTTGAAATAATATTCCACGTGAAGCTTCTTGTCCTACTAAATCTTTACTTCCTAAAAAGTTATCCTCATATCAGTAGGAAGTATTTTCCAAATTGATGCCTAATTTGATGCAACCACTAGTTAGTGGAATTAGAGTTACTTTCCTGGGTGGCATTCATGCAAGGGAGTGCCATTTCTGTGTGCCAAGGATGAAAGCTTCTTTTTTTTTTTTTGAGATGGAGTTTCTCTCTGTCACCCAGGCTGGAGTGCGGTGGTGCAATGTGGAGTTACTGTAACCTCCGCCTCCCGAGTTCAAGCGATTCTCCAGCCTCAGCCTCCCGAGTAGCTGGGATTATAGGCGACTGCCACCACACCCAGCTAATTTTTGTATTTTTTAGTAGAGACGAAGTATAACCGTGTTGGCCAGGCTGGTCTTGAACTCCTGACCTCAGGTGATCTGTCCATCTCAGCCTTCCAAAGTGCTGGGATTACAGGCATGAGCGACCCTGCCAGGCCCGGAAAGCATTCTTAAGGGAAGTTGTTCTCAGGGTGAAGTGGGGGTGGGGAGGAAAGCCTTAAGGAATAAGATTTGAGATCCTGAGCCAACGCCCCTGGACAGAGAATGGCCAATACTGCAGGACCCAAGCCCCTGGATCCAAGCCTCTGAGGGGCTCCTGTGCCAACTCCAGTGGCTAAGATTGGTGGCACAGCTTCCTCTAGTATAGGACCAGAAGCGAATCTAAATTGCAATGTGCTTTCTCCCCTCCCCCACTCCAGATCCACTCTAACTTGTTTGCTCTTCATTTATGTAATTCATATTTATCACATTTATGCTGCTCTAACTGAAGATGAGTTGCATGTATATGAATAATTTAATTCTTCCATTCTTCATCCAGTTTCCTCTGTGACTGGAAAGTGAAAAGAACACAAAAAACTGGAGAAACGACACCACGCTCTAATCTCAGTTGCCATGACAGCAGCCTTTGAGATACTGAAATGTTCCGATTGCCAGCTAAACAAAATTGTTGAATGTGAACATTTGGCTGGAAGATTAAAAGGCTAAGGGGAATGCAAAAGGGCAGTACCTCCCACATTCCAAGCAGCCAGTGAATCCAATCAAATGGCTCTGACTCCTTAACCACAGCCATTGTGAGCACTGGATTAGGGCAATTCATCTAGATAGTTAAAGCAGATTAGAACTGCAATTTGAAGACTATTGGCAACAAAAGTAAATGCCCTACTGTACTAAGTAATGAGAAGATTTCAGAACGCCTTTTAGCAGAAATAATGGGAAACTACACATTTAAACATAAGAATCAAAACCTGGAATTTTAAAAAATTCATTCAGACTCATCAGTGTACAAATTCCGCCTGCCCAAGAGGGCATGAATTTATAAGTGTTCGGAAGCTTTTTGCAAACTTGGCATTATCTACATGTCAACGTCTCTCTCACAACTTTTAAAAATCAGAACTTTACTCTTACACTCCAACTTAAATCCTGAACACAAAAACAAGAATATAAAGGTTTCAGTAGCAGTGAACAATTTTACATTGAAATAATTCTCCAAAGACATATTATCACCACTTACAATCCCAATCGCCAACTATAGCCAAAAAAAAAAAAAAAATTATTTAATAAGCATGTTCCCAAACAACCATGCCACAACCCACACGACAGAAATCTTCTACAAGGCACAACTTGTAGAATTAATCTGAAGGTTAATTTCACAAAAATATCACACACACCCCTAACTCCTTCCCAACCTGCCTGGTGGACAGAACACCTTTTTTCCCCAAACATTAGTCAATGTGGTCTATGACTAAGCGGCACCACCCGCGGTGGGGGGTGGGGGCGGGCACTTCTTCCAAGGCAGCGTGTAACTACAGACTTATACAAAGATGGGAGGAAGGGTCCAAACGGCCTAAATCAACTATCCACAACCGTTCAAAAGCAACACATCATTCTAGTACTCCGATTCACTCAACCGTCTACATCCCCTTTGGCTATGCTTGCACATTTCATGAGCATCAGTCCAGCAACTCTGTTTTATTCTTCTTAGCAGCTCCCCAGTCAAGCTAGGTATCCAAGTGATAACACTCTTAAATCTCTAGCTAAGAACTGGGTGAGGGAACGAGGGTAGAGTGCTAACAGCCAGCAAAACCATCCAGTTTTTGTGCAGTTATGAAACCAATGACCCAACGCTTCAAGCTTGGGGTCTAATTCAGGACCAAGAACAAGAAGGGTGCCCTTTCCCAGTACTATTTTGGAGACAGTAACAAAAAAAAAAAAAAAGGATGAGGGTAGAATGTAAATTAGAATCCTCGACATTCCTCCGGGGGAGGAAACTTGAACCTTGCACCTAAGAACACATTACCAGCAATACTAGGATGAATAAATTAAAATAGAAAAATGTTCCCCTTAAGGAAGAAACCAGGACAAGAGTCAAGCGAGTACATGAGCAGGTTTTCTATTAAAAGCACACGGCAACCTGCTGACTAGTGAGGAACCGATCTACAGGGCAAAAGGTACTTAGAACACTCAGGCCCTCCCACCTGGGAACCCAACACTAGCATCACAAGCAGCAGCAGCAGCAGCAAGGACAGCAGAAGCAAGAGCCAAACACTGTACCCAAGTAAGCTCCCCCATAGCAAATTTTAATATAAAAGATGCATACCACAGAAATCTCACCAAGAACCAGAAAGCATAAAGAAGTGTAAAGCACACAGAGGCACACCCCCACGCACCCACACAAATGCACACAGAGGAGAGTAGGACATCTAGGAAGGCGACTTTATCCTACCTTCTCAGTTTTCAGTTTCTTGATTCGCCTGTGGCTCTCCTCCTCCTCCTCTTCCTTCTTTACCAACATAGCGTTTCCCATGAGCCCTGAATCCGGGGCACTTTTGCTAACTTCCCCTGCAGCGGCGACGCTGCCACTCCCAGTGCCCCCGCAGTGGAAGGGGCTCGCGCCACCTCCATTGCTCTTGGCCCCAAAGCCATAGAGGTGCCCCCCAGAAGGGGCCTGGCCGCCACTGCCATTCTGGTGGCCCTGAAGCAGGTCGTGCTTGTCCTTCCTGGATTTCCCCGCATCCTTATCCCGCTTGGCGCCTCGGCTGCTCTGGCTTTTACCTGGCTTCTCCTCTTTGCTTTTCCCACAGGAGCCTGCCCCCGCGGTGGCGGCAGAGGTGCTGGTGCTGGTACTATTGCTGTTTGAGTTGCCGCTGCCGCCGCTGTTCACACTTTGACCCAGCGCTGAATTCATGCCAGTTGCCTCTCCAGGGCGCCCTTGGACTTCCTGCCTCTTGCCAGTGCTGCTAATCTCGGGAATCCCATACAAGGCAGCAGAAGGCAGAGATTTATTAGCATCCTTAGAAGTTTTACTCCTTTTCACTTTTGATTTGCTGGTCTCTTTGTGTGAATTCCCCTGGGGAGCAGAGGCCTGAACAGAAGCAAATTTTAGGCCATCAGCTAAGGCTGCGGTAGCACCAGCCCCACTGGAGGCCGGACCTCCACAATCCTTGGAGTTGCTGCTGCTAGTGGTGTTGGTGGAATTATTCATCTCAAATTTCTGTCTGTCCTTCTCCAAATCAGCGTCCAAATCAATTATTAAATTTCCAACCCCGATTTCCCAATCATCGCCACTGTCATAAGTATCAACTGTATTTGGATCCACACCTTTTCCTGCAGTAGAAATGTTCACTGACATCCTGAAGATGAGCTCTCTAGAATAAAAATCCGATGAACTTTCCTTTGGAGATGAGGGGACATTCGTTTATCTCCGCTGGGCTTTCTCTCAAAGAAAAAAAAAATCTTCTAATCTTCCTCTTCTTTTTCCTGCCCCACGAATGTGTCCAGGGATTTTACACCCTCAGTCCAGGTCCACCTTTTCCTGTGAAGGGGGGAAAAGTCGAATATTTCTTGTCTGGGTGTTACCAGAATAAAAAACGATTAGTATTGGGGAGTCAGTAAGGGGGACAGGGAAGGATGGAGAGTAAGGTGGCTCATGTATTGTCTCCATAGTCCAATATCAGGTTTAAAGGAAAATAACCAAACCCGAAAAATAAACCCATGACAGTAAGCATCTTACAGTAGCTAAAAGGAAAATCCCTTTATCAACAACACAAGGATAATCACCTTTTTAAAAGCATTAAATTATCTTAAGGATCTGATTCCAGTCCAGAAAGGTTTTTATGTTCCTTTTTAAAGTTTAGGATTTCTGTCTGGCACATGTGATATCTCAACCCCAGAAACACAGCCTGAACACTCAGACAAGAAGGAAGAACACAGCTTTAAACATCCCTAAACATGTCCTAGATCTTGCAATTTAAAAGACCAGACCCTGGAAGTTCTGAGGCTAGTTTTCAGAATAGAATGTTGCTAAATTTTCCTTATTTCTAATTTTAGGTTTCAGTACTTCTTTTTACAAATTGTCTGGGCAATCTGGTTTTTGTTCCCAGTAAGGAACAGAAAACACAACCAATAACTCCCCCCTCGACACACACACAAGCCTCCCTCCTATCCTCTCTTCCCCAACAGCTTACATAATTTTTTTTTTTTTTGAAATATACATATAGGTCTTTAAGAGCATTTCTCTCTAGAAAAGACAGTGTTATATAAAAAGTTAAATATCTGCCTTTTGAGAAAAAAATACATTTAAACAATTCTACCGTATTCCTAGGTCACAGAATTGCTCACTCTGTTAAATATGGTGCTACTGACTGTACGGAAAACTGATTAAGACATACACTTTAAGTGATCTGCGCCAAGGTGGCCTCAATGACCGCAAATGAGTGTGTGTTTGACAAAGAGCAGTTAAAACGGTTTTTAAAGGGATCAGCCCCTTTTTAACAGTTGATTGTCAAGAAAAAAATAAATAAATATACATACATACACACATACACACACACACAGACATTGCTTACCTTTTAATCCTTTATCATTTTTTAATTAGGCCAGCAAATCAAAATGCCTTTCCCACGCCACTCGGCAAACAAGCCTGTGCCTCATTTTACTTAAACACCAAATGATCAAGAAGGAAGAAACCAAATAACACATCTCAGCCAGAATAATCACTCGATAACATTATTCCACCTCCCCACCCCCCTTTTGGCAAACGGATCAGTCCTTTTCTCCTTAAAAAAAAATGTGTCACTGTACAGCTGGAAGATAATGTTTCACATTCACAACAGAAGCACCAAAGGTTTTTTTTTTCCTCTTAACAAGCATCGAGAATAATAGTTTTTTTAAAAAACAGAGAGTTTAGAGAAAAAAGTTTTCCCAACTTCTCATTCCGCCTTCAGTTCCAGACTTCAGAGTCACCGTGATCAGTAATGATCCCATGTAGCAAACCTACAGGCGTCCGCTAGTAACAAGACAGAATGTGCTAACATCGGGATAAATTAGTGAAAGGGAAGAAAGAATAAGAAGAAAGGACTGAAAATCTGGGCTGGATTCCGCCTGTTAGTCGGGAAGTGGCATTTTTCCGCCCGTCCTGACAGATTTGATTTCTTGAACTAACTTAAGAGAAAAGGAGCGGGGAGTAGAGGGAGGAGGAGGAGGAAGAAAGGGTGGGATGAGAAGCTGGGCCAGAGGAGAAAAAGAAAGGTGTGGAGGAGGAGGGAGCAGATGATTCAGTGAGCTGATAAACCAGTTATAACAGCATTCGCTCGGGGCGGGGGGCGGCGGTGTGGGGAAAATAACGGCGTTTAAAATGGGCTCAGTCTTCGAAACCTAAAGGATGTGATGTTTTCCTGTCTTATGTTGTTTTAAGAAAAAGGAACTGAGTTCCTAGTATAGTTCCCGAGCGGGGTGGAATCCTCTGTCGCTCAGGTCAATCAGTCATGTGGTAATTCGATAATTAGAGTCAAAAAAAGGTTTTTGTTTTTTTTTTTAAAGGCGACCTTTTTCAGGAGTTTTTCCCTCTTATACTCGCAGCCAACGGTGTGTCTCCCTTTTATTTATTTTTTCTTTCCTCCTCCTCCTCCTCTCGCCCACCCCCTCCTGTGTTTAGTCAGATGGCCCTGGAGCTTGGCTTAGTATTTTTAATTAGCTGGCGTTTGGAAGCTAAAAGCAGTAATGAATTGTTGATGGATTGGAAGTAGAGAGTCGCTTTGCTGGAAATGTCGGGGCCGGGACAGGGGGATGGGCGAGTTAGTAAGAACCAACCATCTAAAAGGAGCGATTTTGTTACAGTGCAAGCCTTTCACATCACGTGAGGATCAAGGGCTCAATTGGTTGTCGTGAGAACAAAAATGGTGACAAGCGTATCAAGAAAATACTGATCTGGTCTTTAAAAAAAAAAGCTGAAGGTCTCTCCCCTCCCCCTGCACACACTCCCCCACTCCTCCCCGCGCCGCGCACCCCGCAGTGAGCGAAGCTACAAGTTATGAATGTGAAACATTTCTCGGAGATGTAGGATCTCCGAAGTTCGGAAGGAGTGAAATGTAATGAGCACAAGAGCGAAGCAGATGTTTTAAAGAAACACTTTATAAACCTTTCCTCAACTTATCTCCAATTTGTCGGTTTTCCCAAGGGGCCAGGGACGGGGACGCCTGGGGGAGGGAGAAAGGTACCTCCTAGCTACTTGGAGTTTAGGGACCCCCACTACATGTATTAAACAAAGAAAAACCTTTTGCTTGCTCCCCAGCCTGGTCCTGTCATAAACACACCATTGTTACTATTTGTGGGTTTGTTTGGGTTGGGTGGAGCTTTTATTTTTTTCTCTTAATGGTATTTTTGTTGCTTGCTTTTTTTAAGGGGATGGCGAATGGTAATTATAACCATTACATGTAATGAGTGACTATTCCCTTGTTTAATATTAAATTATCGGGCACTGGGATCTGACAGGAGACAGAAATCGGCTTGTTCTGCCCTTGCCCCCATTTTCCTGGATCGGTTGGAGCGGGGGTGGTCTGCCGAGCGAGGACAGGAGAGGGAGGGAGTAAGGTGAGCTAGAGAACTGACATTGCAGACCAGGATATGTAACTGTGTCACTTTTATTCTCCTTTGGGTTAGAGCCCAAAAGCTAATTTACTCCAAGTTACCCCGAGTGCCGAGTCAAGCTTAATTTGTGTGAACTTACAAATGCTTCACCCTCTACTGAACAAAATTCACCCTCTTGGGTTGTTGTTCTAAATGCAAAAGCCAAACCCTGTAACTAGTTCCTCATTTCTATGCATAAAACTCTCACATTCCCCTGCATGAAGTCCCCGCTAAGTGCTATATAGAGACACACCACGCAACCGTACTTACGGTCTGTATTGGATCGAGTTGACCTTTTCCTTCTAACTGCATTGAATGTGTTTGGTTGCAGCCGCTTTATTTTGGAAATTATAATCTCTTCAACAAATTTATTATTAAAGAAGATGGACCATCAAATGTCACAGACCGTCCTGTGTATTTTTTATAAAAGCAAAAATTAAAATTTAAAAAAGCAAAACAAAAATCCCCCTGGTGCACACACACAACAAGCTTGTTCTGCAACACTGAAATCAGGACTGAAACACAACACACACACAGGGGGAGTGGAGCAAAAGAAGCTCTCAGCCTCTATACCTGAAAGGGACTTCTCTTTGTTCCCAATGCCCTTTCGCATCGGGCCAATCAGAGAGCAGCTTTTATGAAACTGGGCTCTCTCATTGGCTAGCTGCTTTCTCTTGGCTACTGTAGGGGGTTGAGATATACACACGTATAAAACACACACTGAGAGCGGGTGGGGGTGCGGTGGGGGGTGGTTGTGGAGACAAAGCGTTTTATTTTCCAACCAGATTGGGGTTGAGGAACCTCCCGCAGTAAGAAGGAAAAAAAAAATGGTGCGCCTCTTTCAATTACTACATCATTCACATAAAACACTTATTTATTAAAACAAATCTCAAACAGGCTGCGAGGAGAGGATGTCGGTAAATACAAGTTTGATTGTGTTATCTTGGGGGAAATAATGTATGTGATCGCTCAGTGGCAGAGGGAAGCCAAATGAGCCACCAGCGCGTAGCGAGGAGAAAAAGGAGGCTGGCTGTGTGGAAATGACTGCGATCATTTTGCTGGCTTCCCTTCCTTGTTCCAAGGACTCCGCAGCCCAACTCCCAAGACTGATTTTCTGTATTGCAGCTTCTGGCTTTCAACCCTCCCCCGACCACTTTGCCCTTCCTGCAATTTTTTTTTTTTTTTCTTCCCTGTGTCTCTCTTTTTACTCGCTGATTAAATAAGAAAAATCGATCTGCGGGTAAAGGCGATGGTGGGGAAACAAGTAACCCTTTTGTTTCCAGGGCTCTGGTCTACAGGCAGTGAAGTGTGAAAGCAGGCGACCATTTAACCAACACTACGTGAATGGTTCTTCCCTGAAATTAGTAACAAATCTTTTCCACCTGGTGTTATGTGGCTCCAAAAAGGAAAAAAATAATATTTAAATAAGGCCCCAGCCTACCGTTGTAACACCTCGGGCCGGCCTCATCTTTTAAAAAATCGACTTGTGAGAAATAAGTGTCCTAGGAAGATTAACCTTAAATAGTCCCAGTACACATATTTAAACCGTGGGATGGTCAGAATTCCTCTTCCCCCAAATTTTCTGGTGGGGAAGATGGTGTCATAAATCCTCTGAATGCTACATCTACAATCCACAAACACAGAAATATTTTAGAATTTATTATAGGACAAATGTCAGCAACCAAGTATTTGAGACTCGGGTCATAGGATTAGAGAGGTTAATATGAAATAACAAGTTTAACATTTTAGTGTAACAGTAACATATTTAAGCTAATGTATTTACATATATTAAGCCTTTAGAGTGCATTTAATTTTTAATTTTTTATTGTTACCTTCCTTTATTTTTAGGAGCTAAAATGTGGACATCTTAAAGTAAAAGGGTACTGTGAATCACAAGCATCGTGATCTCAAATTGTAAAGAGCCAGTACTACTAGGATTGTAATTTCCACATGACAATTGCAATTTAAGATTGTGTCTTAACTGAGCCATATGGACACACAAAGTGAATGAGTGCTAGCAGAAGACAGCTTCTGATGTAAATATTCAGTGATGACTTCGTGGATCAATAAAAATATTTATGTCACATGTTTTAAATAATGGCTATTGACTTATGTTTGAGCTTTCAGTATATTTAGTCCATAAAAAAATTGCCAATTAGCTGTTTCACTACCATAAATGAACTAGATTTGAGGCTGCAAATAGTAATAAACAGCAGTTTCCACCCTTTATTGGGATATATAAACCAGAGGAATGCAATCTGTAATAGTCCTTAGCTCTCCCTAAGTCAATTTGTATTCAAATCAAAGCTGCACTTTAACAAATAAAATGGGGCAAATTGGGCATCTGAAATCTACCTATCCCCCATTTTAGCTTTGAGATTTGTTTTATATTTTTGGATATAGAGATTTTACATTTGTGCATGCCCCATTGATAACAATACAGCACCATACTGTGATTTTTAACTTTTCTTCTTTTAAAAGAGTGATTTCTCAAGGGATCAGATCACTCTTGGGCACTTCCTGTGTCTCTGGTGTGTCATCTGCATCTCAGTCTTTGGAAGCCCATCCCTACCCTGTATGTTATATTAGTTTGGAAAAATCAATAGTTAGCTCTTAAAAGAACGGGACATTTAAAAAATGAGACCTAGTGAAGATGGAGGAGATTGGAGTTTCTCCAGTACAAAACAAATTACAGTGTCTGCAGCACAGATGAAGCCTAACTAAAACCAAAGTTTAGGGTTCCTAATAATCAAATAATCTAATCTAACCCTGGCTGCAACACTTAAACTCAAACCTTAAACCTTTCTGAGAAACCCTCCTGGCCGAGATAAAGGCTTAGGCCCAACTCGACCACAAGGTTAACCCAAACCAT